GTGGACACAAACAGATTGTTTACATTGTTTTATAGCAAATCAAACGACAATTGTCTTTAACCATACCTTTCGGTGGTTTGACTTCACTCTCAAATTCTCTGTCAATTCTTCGCAATTCATCGACTCTTTCAACGGATGTCATCTGAGTCTCGACTTCAGCCGACTGTCTAATACCCCACTGAAAGTTTGTTGTCAACTGAAACGCCTGCGAAAGTGTCAGTCCTATAGCACTGCCGCTCTGAGCGTCCAAATCGCCGCTTACGAGTGCAATGGTTAGCGCTATGGTGTAAAGGAGGCAGAGCTGATCCAACACAATACCGAACCAACGCGTGGACGTCATAAACATGAAGTATGTGTTCGAGTGCTGGTCCTGAAGACTGTCAAACTTGGCTGAAAAGTCCTTTTCGGCACCGAATGACCGAATGGTTGTCAAGCCGTTCAACGTTGAGGTCAAGTGACTGAATGTGGGACTCCTAGCGGTGCCCTCAACTTTTTTCAGTGTCCTAATGGTTCCCAAACTGAACTGTCGGACAATTATTAAGAGCACTAGTAGTACAAGAGTGGGAATAACTATCCAATAATCAACGAGAATGCAGAGCACAAGTATAGCAAAACAATCCATTAGTATTTGTATGCTATCGAAAGCATTAGACGGAAGTAAGTCATCGATTATACCTGTCATCGGAGGTAAGAATTGTGAGATAATTGTGGTCATAAGTGATAAACAATATGTGAATGAATACCTAAATCACGTGACACTCGATTGAGAATCATTCCGATCGGGTATTTGTCAAAGAAAGCGATCGGAGCTCTGATTACGGACTCTAAGAGACGGTTATGTAATGTCACCGAAGATCTCATACAGACTGTGAAGAATGTGACGGTTCTTACGATACATAACACAAACACAATCACTACGAGTGAGCTATAGATATAAATATTATGGTTTTCTTCGTGTAAAATCATCCAACTTTTCTCAATTGTCTCATTTGTGCCTTTATTTAAAGCTATACTCTGGTAATAGTTAGTCCACATCGACAGCCAATAATCACTTCCCGTATATACGGCTTGAGTTAAAATGTTAGTCAACACGAGAGTCGGCAACAGTATAACACCGGCGCCGGATCTCAAATACGTCCAGTATATGTGAGACGACGAGGTTTTGCCCGACTTGTGGTTATGATCACCAGAATATTCTTCGTCTTCTTCTTTGGCCACAACATTGATGTCTTCGTCGCCGAACTCGTCGTGAAGGGAGGACTCAATCGATTTACACGAACCTAATAATGAAGACAGGGATGACGTCCGACGGATAGACTCGGAGTGGTGTTTGTCCTCATCCTTACGAATCTCTAAATCTCCGGCGAATTTGATTAAATCAATACCTATTTTGGAAACAAATCATATTATTAATTGTCAATTAATCCTAAGATTTCAATTATTAGCGAACCTTCTTTCAAGAGCTGAGTATAGGATCCTTTGGCTAAACACTTGCCATCGTTTAAGACAAGTATCTGTTGCGCGGCTTTAATGAACTGCAGCTGATGTGTGACCAAAACCACACAATGACTCCGAAGATATCCTTTGATACACTTTTCAAAGATATGTTTAGCGACCGACGGGTCGAC